CCCAGATGGCCACAACAGCCAGAGCTGTGCCAATCTGAAGGCAGGAGCCCGGAGCTTCTTCCAGGTCTCCCACATGGATGCAGGGGCCCAAAGACTTGGGCCATCTTCCACTGCTTTCTCAGGCCATGGCAGAGAGCTAGATTGGTAGTGGAGCAGCTGGGACTCAAACCATATGGGATACCAACACTGCAGGTGGTGGCTTTACCCACTACGCCACAGCACCAGCCCCTGGGCTGGCCTTTAAGAAGATAACTCCAGCTACCTGGCTTCAAAGCTGCTTTGTGTTTCCTAGGGAGGTGTGGAGATAGCCATGGCTTTGCTCCTATGCTTGTTTATTGTGACACGAAGTCCCAAGCACTTGTTACCACCCAATTCTCAATTTCTCAACTTTCTCTTCCCTGTTTTCTATTAATTGAAAGAGTTGTAATATATGTTGAACAGAGACCTGTGGGAATGACTGGCGTTTATGGAATGGAAAACTCTTAGTCATCCACAAATCACCAGAAAAATGAAAAGTATTATCCTTTCTTCTGCCTTTCTTTTTTTTTTTTTAATTTTCATTTTATTTACTTGAAAGGCAGAGAGAGAGAGATCCCTGATTCACTGATTCTCTCCCCAAATGCCCACAATAACCAAATCTGGTCCAGGCTGAAGCTGAGAACTCAATCTAGATCTCCCATGCGGATGGCAGGGGCTGAACTGCTTGAGCCATCACCTACCGTCTTTCAGAGTCTGCATTATCATGGAGTTGGAATCAGGATCTGGAGCCAAGATTTAAGCCCCAGCACTTTGGAAGTGGGATGTGGTCATTCTAGGTGCTGTAACAAACACCAACCCTGCCTTATTTTTTATTGCAAGGAGGTGGTGCTAGTCACCTGGGCTGCTGGTTTTGTTTGGGGAACTATAGCAGGAGTCATAGAAATGATCATGAAACCAGTGCATGTTTGTGTGGTTGCTGGATGCTCCAAAGGGGATAAGCCACATGTGAAGAGAGCTTGCTGCAGTCCCTAAGATGGAGAGGCTTTCTGAGTCCAGGGTAGGAACTCAGGTAAACACAAAGCAACCCAGCCTGCACATCACACTTAATGGTTGCATATGTCTACAAGCTGCCACTGATGGCAGTGTGCTGCTACAGAAGGCTCCTCTATAAACCCGTGGTATCCAAGCCTGTTTGGAAATTCGCAGAAATCTATGAGTGATTCTGTTGGGGAATCCTCTTATGTGTCCTGCAGAAACTACCTAAGTGTTCAGATTTTTCTCTCTGAACCCTAAGATACATTAAGCCTTGATCTGAGATGATGATCCCATCATCCCACACTTGAAATTCTTTCCCTCCAGAGGTACTCATTTGTTTCTGAAATAGCATGTTTACTAAGTAGTAGATCCAGAGGTACTCATTTGTTTCTGAAATAGCATGTTTACTAAGTAGTAGATGGCGTTCTTTGCTGTGGAGGCTGTCCTGTGTATTGTAGTTTCCCCAGCCTCTACCTACTAGATGCCCATAGTGCCCCACCCCCTATATCAGTTGTGACACCAAAAATGTTTCCAGACTTTGCCAGATGTTCCTTGGGACTCAATGATCACCACCAGTCGAGAACCACTATGAGAGAGGGTGCAAGTGGTGACTAGACTAGGCTGGTGAGTGATGTTCTATAAGACTGAATATTAGACAAAAGGAACCTCTGGCTGGAGCAGAGCTATGAGGCTCCTCAGTGGATAAAGAAAGCAGAGGGACAACAGCATGAGCATAATTTTGCTTTAACTGGCCCTCTCCAAAATATGAGTGTCATGAAAGGTAAGGTTTGCGAAGTAAGGAGACTGTGAGAGCCAGAGCTGCTCCGGCAACAGCCCAGCCTCAAACCAGAAAATCACCATTTCCAGGAAGACTGTAAACACCTGTGCTTTCCACCGAACCCCCCCCACCCCCACCCCCACCCCCACCCCGGCCTCTCATCCATACCCATCACCACTGGTTATGCCCTACTTTAGTAGAAGCTGGGGCAGGAACCCAAAAGACAACAAAGGATGAGTTTAACCTGGGTGGACTAGTGCAGTGATAGGGTCAAAGCAATGCTCACCAGACTTTTCTGTTTTTGTTTTTGTTTTAATGTACTCAGTACTAGCTACTCATGATCTTTTCAAAGAGTAATACTTTTCTAGTGCGGCTTTTACTAATATTATAATACTTAATACACACATGATGCCATGTAACTCCCTGCATATATCACAGTCACAGCCTTTGATTACACATGTGCCAAGTTTCTCCAGGGCCTGCCTGTCCTCTCTGCCCCCATGCAAATCCCACACAAGGAGATGTGGTCGTCATCACTCTGCTGCAGGACTTGATGATGGGATGACCTGCTTCACTTACTTCCTCAAGCGGAGTGGGGATGGGGGCTGTTATAGTCCCCTGGAGGCCAACCTTTATTGATTCAGATGCAACACTATTTCCCGAGAGCAGAAGCCCAGTTCCAGCTGTTGTCCTGGAGGCAGGAGCTGTCATTTCTCTGTGGAGTCTTTAAGAGACCAAGCCCTGGGAAGCTCCATGTCAGAAACGTGCTGCAGGTGTCCCGGAAACCGCAGCTCTCTCTGCCTCCCACCCCTCCTCTGCTGGTTACAGCTCGCTGGCTGCCTTCTTCCTCTTCATTCTCTCAAGGGGAAAAGGCAGGTAATGAAACACCTTAGTGGTAGGAAGCCTTGATCTTTAAGGTGCTAGGGATACTGTCCATCTAGTGTAATTCTAACTCAGACTCTGTTTTCTATGTTGAGAATCATTTTAACAGAACAGCATTAAGCACCACAGTGAGTCATTTTCCCTGAAAATAGAAATATCAGGTAAATCGTGTATTGTGGGGGCCTCAGGTGTGAACTCGAGCATCTCAGTGAGGCTGCTTCGGAAGCAGTTTTCCCTACTGATCAGTAAGCAGTCAGTGGCTGCCCTGCAGTACCTCCCTCCTGTCCTTGGCAGTGTTGCTTTGGGTATCTGGGCAAGTCCCTGACTCTGCATTTGTCTTCATTACTTTCATTTGAGGGAGTTTTTTTTTCTCTTAGGCATGTGTCAGACCAGTCAGAGCAAGTAGCGTGGTCTTCCTGATCCTTCCCTGAGTAAATCTCCCCCATTGTTTATAGGATTTAGCTCTCCCATTTTAATACTGAGCCCTCTACCTGGGGAGCATCTTCTAACGTTATCAGCTGAGATCAGGTAGTAATCATTATTCACGTTCTAAAGCCTCCACTCTCGGCACTGGCATCCTTGCAGCCCTGCTCTGCTATCCTCCAACTTCCCTGTCAGTGCGCCCCAGGCAGCTGCAAAAGCTCACAGCTCCAGGAAGCTTTTGTTCCATGAGGTGAGAGACTTTCCAGAGAGGCTGCCTCCTGGATCTCTTTCTGGAAGATTCAGGGCACAGCACCCAGAGCTCCACCGGGGCCAGACACTGACCACTCCTGTTCCCCATGGTCTGCTAAAGCCACAGCGACTTTCTCAAGGGAGTCCATGAAGGAAAGTAGTGATGGCGGCACATTTCAGGACAGCATGCTAGCAAAGTCATCAGAGGAGCTGTTGAATCACACGTCTTGCTCCGTGAGCCAGCTCATTCGATCCTTAGGAGCAACTGTCCCCAGAGAGCCTCCTTCTCACGGATCATCCTGCTCATCCTGTCCCAGTCAGCCCCACAGGGATGCTGTTTCTTCTACTTGCCTCATAACCACCTCTCACGGAAGCCGGAGCTCAGGGTTGCTAGAGGCGGCTGCCATAGAGGATAGTAATAGAAATAAGGGGGAAGAGAAAAGGAGGAACCATTCTTCCTCTCATCAGAGTGCAGGGTGGGTCACTTTCCAAGCCTACTCTCCCTGGTTGTCAAAAATGTAAAGGCCGCAGGCCCCGAGAGATTTCTTTTGGGATATACTACTGTGCTCCGTTCAGGTGTAGGGAATGCAACAAAGCAGGAAAACTCGAAATGGGCAAACCTGGACAAGCTTGGGAGCTCCTGTAGTCTTTCTTCCTTTCTTTTTTTCTATTTCTTTCTTTACTTGTTTGAAAGGCAGAGAGAGCGAGTGAGTGAGTTCTTTTATCTGTGGGTTCACTCCCCAAATGGCCACAACAGTCAGGGCTGGGCCCGTCTGGAGCCAGGAGCCAGGAGTTCCATCCGAGTCTGCCTCATGGGAGGCAGGGAGCTAAGTGCGTGGGCCGCCGCCTGCTGCTGCTGCTGCTTGCCCAAGTGGGTTAGTAGGAAACTGCACCTGGAGCACAGTAGACAGGACCCAAACCAAGCACTCTGGCATAGGATGCGGTCGTCTCAAGCAGCAGCTTAACCAGCCGCACCACAACACCCACCCCAGTCATCCATTTTTAATCCCCACTGTGCTTGTCCCCCGTCACTAAAAAAGGGTGCACCAGGACGTGGATGGTGTCTGCGAACCTAAGTGGCCACTATGAGACTTCATTTGGTTTTATTTCCTGTCTCTGTAATGTTTTAGGTTTCAAAATTTATTATGAGTAATGTAGTCCAAAAATAGTGTCCACCATGTGAAGGGAAACACTAAAAGGAACCCTGGTCCTTAAGCCATGGTCAGCATGGTCACCTCCTGAGAAGTGGCAAGCTGGAGACATGGGCTCTTGCTTGAGACTGGCCTTGAACAATAGCAACCAACACCAGCCAAACTCTGGCCTTGTGTGCACATGTGTTGGGTCACTTCTGACCTGGACTTCTAGAATGTCAGAGATTAAGTACTTGCTGGCCCCGGCCCCTAAAGTGACTGAAGGTGACTCCCACACCTCAGCACGATCAGTTGCCCTGTGAGTCTCAGCCCAGGTGGTTGGGTGAGGCAGTTGGTGCATGTGGTGAGCAGAGAGTCATCTTTCTTTCCCTTCTGGCTCTACCTGGGGGTGATCAACTAGGTTTTCATGTGGGTGAATGAGAGCTGCAAACCTTGCTCACGATGACTAAATTCCGAATGTGTACTGCCTGTGACTTGGCAGTAACTGGAACTCTGTCTTACAGCCTGGATTCTTTCCTGTATGGCCTCCATGCCCTCTTCAAAGGCGACTTTCGGATAACAGCACGGGACGAGTGGGTGTTTGCTGACATGGACCTGCTGCACAGAGTTGTTGCTCCAGCCATCAGGATGTCCCTGAAACTTCACCAGGTGAAAGGCCACTTTTGTTTTAAGATTCATTAATTTATTTGAAGGCAGTAGTGGGAGAGAGAGAGAGAGCGACAGAGAGAAAGAAAGAGAAATCTATCTACAAAGCCAGGAGCACAGAGCTCCATCTGGGTCTCCCAAGTTGGTGGCAGAGGCCCAAGCATTCAGCCATCATCCTCTGCTTTCCCAGGTGCATTAGCAGGGAGCTGGATTATAAGAAATCCTACTGGGACTCGAACTTGCTCTCCAATATAATATGATGGTACTGCAGGGTGCAGCTTAGCTCACTGTGCCCCAATGTCAGCCCCTGAAAGTCCACTTAAAAATATATGAAGCTGAAACTTTAGGGGAATAAAATGACCTTTGAAAAATGCAGTCCTCTCTCTGTATGGCATTATGAGTGGACTCACTCATTAGGTAACTAAGCATTGAGGCTGTTCAGGTACTCTTGACACTGGTCAGTGGCAACCTGTTCTCAACAGCTGCTAGGTGGTGGCATACTCTACTAGGAAGGGGGTGGGCTATTGGCCAGAGACAGTGACATATCAGAAGTGCCAAGTGCATTTAAAATTATGAACATAAGCCATGAAGCTCTTTCTTAGGCCTAATGAGATGACAGCATGTCCTCTGTACCCAGCTCAGGATTCATAAGAAGAGCACGAGAGGGAGGGAGGGAGGGAGGAAGGAGAAAGATGGAGAGAGAGGGAGAGAGAGAGAGAGATGAGGAAAGAAGTTGGCTTTGCAATTCCCTGCAAGCCACCATCTGCACACTGCCCTGGACCTCCCTGAGCCCACGCTTGAACTTCTCCCCACCAGGACCAGTTCACTTGCCCTGATGAGTATGAGGACCCAGTGGTCCTCTACGAGGCCATCCAGTCCTTCCAGAAGAAAGTGGTGATCTGCCACGAGGGTGATCCCGCCTGGAGGGGCGCCGTGCTGTCCAATAAGGAGGAGCTGCTCACCCTGCGGCACGTGGTAGACGAGGGTTCCGACGAGTACAAGGTCATCATGCTGCACAAAAGCTTCCTGAGCTTCAAGGTGATCAAGGTAGGCAAGGTAGCCATGCTTTCCAGGTCTCCCGTAGGCACACGTCTCTTGTGCGTGAGAAGAAAGAGAACAGTGCTTAGCATGGGCCAGCACCCTCGTTCAGAGGCACAGTCTTAGAGGAGGGTCGGTCAAGGTGGGTGCTGAATCCACTGGCAAGACCATTTCTCAGCTGGGGGAAGGACGTGGGGAGAAGGCCTGGCAGACACCCATGTGGATGGCGGTCAGGACCTCCGGAGCTCCAAACCTTTCTCTGAATCTAAGAGCCTTGTTCCCAACGACTCTTTTCATGGAGGTTAAAACCTCTGGACTATAACAGAAACTTACTGTATTTTCTTTTCTCTCAGTTGCCCTATGGAAACAGTGTCATATGTGTCTCAGAGGGCTGACATCTGGCTTGACTGTGAAAAGAGCTTTAGGCCAAAGTGTTGTCATCACAGATATGCAGCCCCAGAGCTCTGCTCACTCACTAAATCCAACAGACTCAAAAACACACAGACCATCTGCCTCTGTCCCCTGTTCCTTCCATGATCTGCAGGTCAACAAAGAGTGCGTGCGAGGACTGTGGGCTGGGCAGCAGCAGGAGCTCATCTTCCTGCGCAACCGCAACCCGGAGCGCGGTAGCATCCAGAACAACAAGCAGGTGCTCCGAAACCTCATCAACTCCTCCTGCGACCAGCCCCTGGGGTACCCCATGTTCGTCTCCCCCTTGACCACATCCTATCTAGGGACCCACAGGCAGCTGAAGAACGTCTGGGGTGGACCCGTCACCTTGGACAGGATCGGCACGTGGTTCTGCACCAAGTGGTTGCGGTAGGTTTTTACCAACATAGGCTTCTGTAGCTAGGTGCTGTGGGGGGTGTGGGGTCGTGGAGCAGCCTCATACTTGGGTTAGAATTTCACTGCCAGTCACCATCGTCTCAGTGGATCCAAACTGCTGGACCTGAGAGACATCTGACAGATCACTTGTCTCCACAAGCAACCCCAGATTCGGAATCCATGGGCAATCTCATGCAGATGAGAATCTCTTTCTCCCTAACCGTTTTTCACACTGAGAGCCTGCTTGCGTGTTCGCAGTGCTGCTGAGATTCTGGGTGTTTGGGAGTAACTGTCCCACATCAGCTGGAAAGAACCAGGCCTGAACTCCAGCACACGGCTCTTATCCAATATGGCCACTAAACCAGTTTAGCCCTAAGTCTCTGGCTGCTTGGGGTGAATTCCAGGAAGTTTGCCTGAATATAACTGAGTTTCTTACCAGGCCTTAGGGCTCCCCTGAGAGGGTGCAGTCTTTTTATTTGTTAGACACTGAGGTGGGAAAAACCAAACCCCCTCCCCAACCTGGAATCGGGAGTTTGCTGCTCCCTTGGAGAGCAGGGTCTGTGGTCCTGATGTAGCCCTGGCTCTGGTGAGCCATGGAGGGGCATTGGAAATGTTTTGCTGAGGGTCCCCTGAGGATTTCTCCCTCACACAGAGTGCGGAAGGACTGCAACGCCGGCCAGCACAGCCGCGGCAACATTGAGGACGTGGATGGCGGAGGGGCCCCGTCGGCAGGCGGCAGCAATGCCCCAAGCGGTGACAGCCAGGAGAGCAGTGCAGAGCAGCCCAGGAAACATGGCTCCCAGCACTGGGCCTCACCCCAGGAAGGGATGCAGAGGACAGGTAGGTGCAGCTAGGACCTCAGGTCATAGATAAAAGTCCATTTGGTCACAGCAACCAAGGCCATAGGTTATGTTGTCATTCTAATCCCTGAGAGGTTGTAATAAAAAATCAGCATCCGGCCAACAGGTGCCTGAAATTTACTGGCTTTTGTTGGCTGTGCTCAGAAAAAAAAAAAAAAAAACTGTTTGGTTCACCTTTTATCATTCATCTGTCTGTCCATTCATAACCTTGGCCCTCACATCCGTCTGTCTCTCTGTCTACATGTGCAGCGGCCGGCCATCTCTGTCTCCATGGCCGCTGGATCATGTGCCCTCTGGGTCTGGCTGTGTGGGAGCTCTGGACGGTGTCCTCCCATTCTGCAAGCACCTGTGGTGCGTGCACTGACACAGCCTGCCCTCCCTCTGCTGCATCCCTCTGGCTCTCCCTTTCCGCCACTTCCTCTAAGAAAAGGGGAGGAAGGGCAGCTGGGGCCAGGTTCGGCTGAGTCCAAAGTTTAAAATTGTGTTTAAACTAATGCCCAGATAGGTAAGCTGGAACAGATGGGTGCAGTTCTGAAATCTTGCTGGTGGCACCATGTAGGGAGCAGGGGCGGCCCGCCTGGGAAAGGAGGTCCAGAGGCTCACAGTGGACGAGTCTTGGGACTGCAGGAGACACAGATGCTCTGCCTGGCTCCTGCTGGTCCCTGGTATGGCCCTCTAAAGGTTGTTCATGGTTTCACCCTATGGCCTCAGTTCTTCCTCACCATCCAGAAACATTAATAAGCATCCTTGTGCATGCTTCCCTGGCCAGCTGTGCACCAAACGAGCTAGGAGAACTAGTCCCTGGCTTCTGGGAGCACCCAGAGCAAGGCAAGATTGAGGAGACAGATACATAAGGTGGGGTAGGGGGTGGGGAAAACAGGTACGTGGTAGAGAATTAATCGATACATGATAGAAATAAACGTAGGTAGGTAGGTTGGTAGGTAGCTACCTGTGCAAATACGTGATCTCAGTTACTCAAGAGAAGAAAAAAGGCCCCTCTGCAGCTGGATGCTGCCTGCCCTGAGCCCCAGCAGAGCACCTGCCCCAGGCCTCCAGTGCTGTGGCTGCCTGGGGACCACATGAAAAATGTGAAGTTCAAGATCACGGAAGTGATTTTGCGGATGGGAAAATACAAGGTAGGTGAGTCAGGGTTCAGCAGGCAGCAGTGTGCCCAGGTGACCAACTCGTCTGTACAGACAAAGACTGGAGTCTGGGGAGGGCCTGAGGGCATCAGGGCTCCACAAGCCTCAAACCTCATGAAATGCCTTTTTCCTTCTCTCACAAGTGAGTGAAACAGCACCTGCAACTGGCTTTGACCTGGAAAAGCTGGTGTTCCTTCCTCTCCTCCTAATCCACTGGCCTTGGGGAGTAAGCCCCACCCCGCCAGGGCCTGTGGCTGGAAGCCATCAAAGAAATCATAAGCTTTTGTGGCAGATGTTGGAGCAAGGTCTTCTAGCACCCAAACCAGCTGTTAATTTTTCATTATTGCTTCTTAAAACTGTTCCTACCATGGCCACCCCTGACTTTCCATGTTTTACAAGTTAAGACAGCAGGCCTAGAAAAATACCCACCAGCCAGGGCTCCCAGTCCTCCTGACCACTGGCAGTTTGCCCAGCCTGAGTGCGCCCCAGGCTCTGACACCTGCTGCAGGGTTTGGGGGACTTTCCCAAGTCCCTGGCCAAGCCCCAGCAGTTTTGAACAAACCTGCCTTGCTGCTGTGCCATCCTTTTGTGCCCCGTGCTGCAAGGCTAATATTTGATAAACATTAGCAGGTGTCCAGAGTGGTTCTGTAGGAGCATCCAGAATGCTTTCTCTGCAGATCCCCCTTCACCATCCTTACCCTACAGGCAAAGAGCCTGGGCATAGAGAAGGCAAGCACTAACCAGAGCCCCAGATTAGGGGTAATCTGGGATTCAGACCCAGACACGAGGGCCCCAGAACCTGGGATCCTTCCATGGCGCTGGTCCTGGGGTGCTGCCTCCTCTGAGGACAGTTCTTGCTCCCAGCCCTGGGAGTGAGGCAAGAGAAGCAGGATTACCTGACAGCACCTCGCACATCACACTCACTCCCAGCACTCCATCTGTGCTGCTGGCAATGTCCCCACCTGCAGCGACTTTGTCTTGTGCCCAGGCTGGCCAGGGCTCCACAGGGAGGAGCAGGAAAACTGATGCCCCAGTTCTTCCTGAAGCAGCCAGCCAGGGCTCCTTTGCTTCCTTGCTGTGGTCAGGACAGGGGACAAAGTTGGCACAGGGGCTGCTATGGGTCCCTCCCTGGCTCAGCAAGCCACATGAATCTGTTGAACAGTGGCTTCTGCAGAATAAAGCAGATTGATTTAGCAGTGCCGCAACGGCAGGTGCTACAGGCAGGGCAGCTTGAACGGCAAAAATGCTTGTCTCCCACTCAGGAGGCTGGAAGGCTGCAGTCAGGGTGTGGGCAGGGCTGGTTCCTCTGGAGCACTAGGAGGGTGTTCTGCTCCACAGCTGTCCCCTTGGTCCTGGCGGGTCTGGCCATCCTTGCATGCCTTGGCTACTGGAAGCCTCACCCTGACATCCACCTTCATCTTCACCTGGGGTTCTCCCTCTGTATGTGTGCCTGTCTCCAAATCCCCACTCTTTCTAAGGTCACTGGTCCTGTGTGGATGAGGGCCCCACCCTACACCAGTAAATTACATCAGCAACAACCCTTTCTCCAAATAAGATCACATGTGGAGGCGCTGGGGGTGAGGATGTCAGTATTTGAACTTGGTGGGGACACAATTCAACCTGAAGCAAAACCCCAGGCTCTTTCCTCGTCTGAGGCCTCTGCCTGCCAGAATGCACCATCCAGAATGCTCTGCAGAAGCCCTAAGACTGAACTCTCTTCTGCTGATGCCTGGTGGTGCAGGGCCCTGAGTGCACAGAGCTGGGATAATCCTAGGAATAGCCAGTGGACTCCCACTGAAGCACCCTCACTCCTGACAAACAGCAAATGCTGCCCGTTCCCTCTGGGTCAGTGAGGGGCACTCAGAGACCCTCGGCAGCGTTGTCTCACCAGGTGCCCCTGACCGACCACCTCCTGCCCAGGGGCTGAGCGAGAGAGCAGTCAGAGTTTTTCCTTGACGAGGGCAGGCAAAATGTTTTCAGTCAGCTTGAGACACCGCACCCATGGCCCTGGGGTCCCAAGGACAGCAGGCCCTGAAAAGGAGGCCACCATGCAGGAGGGGGAGCCTCACCTAGCCCAGCTGCCCCTGTCCGGGACACTCCAGGAAAGCCATCCACCATCAGCCCAACCTCGCAGGTGGGAAGCTGTCAGTGCTGCAGACATAATGGTTCCATTGCACTTGTGGCTTCTCTGGCCTCCACTCGCCCTCCTCCCAGCTGAATCATTTAACAGTGACCTGAATTGAGATGCAACCCCCAGAAAGGAGGCCAGGAACCTGCTCGGCCCATCCTGGGATGTTGAGGCCATTTCCCGGTGACAGGGAGAACATTCCTCATCCTGATCTTTGACCCTAGAATATCACCTTTACTTCCCAACCCCATGGACTTCCTGTCCTCACTGGAGGCCCCTTAGGCCTGTCTGCAGGTGCCTACTTGTGGGTCTCAGCCTCTAAGTGAAGGTGTTTTTTCTTCTTTCCAAGTGGTCCTAACAGCCAAGGTTGAGAAGCTCTCCCACCCCCAGACTAGGACTCCATGAGTCCCTGCCAGGTTAGTTTTGGAGTTTGGTTCCTCATGTTCCCTGTTTGCCAGTCAGTGTGCTGAGTTCTGAGCTTATAGAAACAGTGCCACTGTCATTTGCTTCAGAAAGTCAGGGCAAATGGTGGCCAGCACGATGTGTCAAACAGCTGTGGCAGCGTGCTAAGTACTGTTTAAGAGGTAGTCACGGGCCTCTCAGAGGTGGAGCAGCTGACTCTCTGGGAATGGCATGACCGAGAGGCTTAGTCAAATAGCAGTGAGTGAGCAGTTGTGCTGAATTTGAACCAAATACTAACAAGGGCTTGTTGCACTATCGGTGACCAAGACTGAACTCCTATAACTGGAGACCCAAATGTCCCCTCCCTTCCTGGGCCCTTGCCTCAGTTTCCACCAAGCATCCGCAGGGATCCTTCCTGAGACCCACAACCAGAATGCTGGTGCCTGCGTGCCCAGCTGTCAGGCTCTCACTGTGCCAACCTCAGCCAGGGCCAGACCACCCAGAAGGTTCATGCTGGGGCAAAAAGTGTCCATCACGGCTGGAGGAGCTTGGCCCAGCCTTGGAGGCTGGTGACCTACTTACCAAATCATGGCCACTTTGAATCCCAAGTTGTAGGGGAGGGCTAGGCTCTTCTATTGGTAAAGATTTTCCCCACCTTACGGATAACAATCAAAGCCAGGGAATAAGTGCCATTATAATGAGCCAAGACAAGTCATTTGTGTGGTATTCCCATTCAGGTCTTAAAAGGTTGGCCCTAGAAAGACTTCTAATTTGATAATGCAGTCATTGGAAAAATAAGTGAAATTATAAAATCCCGAGTAGCAAAAAGGAATTTAGGATGGTTTGCTTATTTGATGGTGCTGTTCTCCTTGCAGAATTAAAATTGAAACCAAAAGACAATCAGCAACAACAAAGAGAAAATCCAAAGCCATGCAATTGGAGGGGGGAGGTGGCGGGTACGTGTCCTACATGGACAGCAGCCCACTCCCCATTGCCACACAGATTTTTCCCAGAAAAACCTGGGAAAGCCCCACCAAGCCTGGGGCTCCTCTCTGGGGTATCAAAGTCACTGATTTGCAGATGACTGTGGCACAGTTTTGGACATTGACAGTGAAAATTATACACAGATGTTCAGTCTCTCCAGATTCTGAAATAAACCAGCAAACACCATCCCTGTTCTTGGTTCTGATTTGTCAGGGTCCTTTTTCTCTGTAAGAGCCACAAATTCAACTCCATAGCATGGACCCTTAGGCAGCAGAAGTGTGCAGCCCAGAGCGCACGCATCCTGGGGAGGCTAATGCCAGACCTGAGGATCATGAGCAGCAATGTGGGGTTAGCACCCCGTTTTCTCAGCCTCTGGGTGGGAGACAGTGAGGTGGGAGCACCATGCCCTCTGGCAACAGGCACCCCACCACGGCAGCATCCAAGTGGGCACTGTGGCAGAAAGGCCTTTCATCCCGTAAGCTGCTGCGGGGAGGAGTGGGGCTGGAGGGGACCCCTGGACCTTCCATCGTAAGGTTTGTCCCCTAAGGAGTTGGCTTTCAAATGCTGTGGCCCTTCTCCATTCCCTTGCAGAGCTGGGGAGCTGTTTTTCTGCCAAGGGCCATTTGGATATTTATAGCATCCCTGGGCCATACAAAATAATCAACTTAAAATGAACCTGCTCTAGATTTATTGAATTTTGAGTCAAGCATGCAGTCGCCTTGGCTGGGCCAGACCCAGTGATTTCATGAGTCTTACAGGACGTTCCCCACCCTGCTGGGGCATGTGTGAATGCTTTGGAATCACCAGAAGCACATGGAGTGTCTTGGGTGCTGGGGGAAGGTGGGACCTGAGACAATGCACAGTTCAGCCCTTTCCGGTGCCTACTTCTCAGGCTCCTCACTGTTTATGGATTTCCTGCCTGAGGGTGGCAGCTTCAGGAGACACACCCCCGAGGTACTTGGTAGAAGCTGTGACATCGCCAGCTGTTCTCTTCCAAGTAGTATCTTAAAATTAGACCCTAGTGACCACTGATGCTTAAGTTAAGCAGCCCAGTGTTCTGGCAAGCAGCTGCTTTCCTTCTAACCACTAGCTGATGAAGCTGGTTTAGATGCTGCACAGGGGACTGGGGCACAGAAAACCCACCTGGAGTTTCCTTCTTGCCGAGGCATGGACAGGACCAAACCTTCGGGGGCAGTCTACTCCTTGTTCTCAAAAATGGCTTTGTTGAGCCCAGTCTCAGCAAGAGCTGGGGCCAGAGGAGCCCGGAGGGAAGGACTGGCAAGAGAAGCAGGGCCACACCAGGGGAGAAACCACAAGACCTGAGGCCTGGGGCTGGCCAGGGCCACCTTTCAGGGTTTGACCTGCAAGATTTTGATATCTGGGGAACTCTGAGAACACAGAGGCCTCAACATGTGGTTCCAAGGCATCCCCCTTGATTTCCCTAGGCATTGTGTTTTCCTTATCACCACTTATCAGATAAGCATAGAAAGATAAGAACCAAGGGCCTGAGCCAAGAACAAATTTGTTCAAGTGTGCGTTCGTTACACTGTGGTATCCTCTTGATTTGCCTGGACTAAGTGTCTTCCAGGGCTGCAGGATTTTCTGTGCTAAAACCAGGAACGTTACAGGCAGATTGGCAGGTAGGTCGCCAAGCTGCAGCTCCCTACCCCACTGTGACCTCGACCCGCGGGGCTCCCTGGGGCTGGTTCTTCCATTCTCAGGGCCTCGACTCTTTGGCCAGGCAGGGGGCGAGCTGTTTTGGCCTAGTACGTGGCAGACTGCTCTGGGCTCTTTGGGTCCAGACAGACCAGGCAGCCTGCATCACACAGAAACTAACGCTGGTGACCACCTGCTGCAATGTTCTGTTTTCTCTTAAAGGCAGGAGGAAAGGCAGGAGCCAGTCTGTCCAGGCACACTCTGCGCTAAGCCAAAGGCTGCCTACCCTGAGCTCCTCTGGTCCTATCTTAGAGAGCCGCCAGGTCTTTCTGCAGGCGTCCACGTCGGTCCACGAGTTGGCCCAGAGGCTCTCGGGCAGCCGGCTCTCTCTGCACACCTCGGCTGCATCCCTGCACTCCCAGCCCCCACCTGTCACCACCACGGGCCACCTGAGTGTCCGCGAGCGGGCGGAGGCGCTCATCAGGTCCAGCCTGGGCTCCTCCACCAGCTCCACCCTCAGCTTCCTCTTCGGCAAGAGGAGCTTCTCCAGCGCGCTCGTCATCTCGGGACTGTCTGCCGCCGAGGGGGGCAACACCAGTGACACCCAGTCCTCCAGCAGCGTCAACATCGCAATGGGCCCCTCGGCCAGGGCTGCCAGCCAGGCCACCCGGGTAAGGAGCTGGTCTGGGTGGGAACTGGGGCTCCAGGCCTGGGCTGCTTTACCACGGACTGCTCCGGGGCTCCCAGCCCTTCTGCCTCCTTGATAGCTCCCAGAGTGTTGACAGCAAGTACAGAGACTCCCAGTGGCTCATCTCCAAAGAGGACAGGATGGGCACTCGTACCCTGTGCTGAGTAACACCAGGCAGGCACTGCGCAGGTGTGCAGCTCAATTGCCACGTCGGGGTGTGGGAGGGGTACTCAGGGACAGTGTTCCCCATTCATCCAAGTAGTGAGGGCAGGAAGACAACATCCACACTGGAGTTAAATTACCATCGCTTCTCATCCAATAGATCTAATTTTAAAGCTGCTGAGACGGCCTACTACATTTGGTGATTTAAATACTAGACAGCAGGTTTTAAGGACTTCATGCAAATCAGTCATGACTTGTTCAGGATCCTCAGCTAGATGCCATTAGATGAACACATGAGCTTCCCCAGTGTAAGTAAATACCCAGCAGCTGCCTCATGTAGAGTGATAGGGAGGGAACGTTTTAGGTGGCATTAAGGCAAAACTGAGCCACGTTTGGAACTTCCTCCTGCTGCTTCTGCATGTGCGCTCATTTTCCTGCAGGAAGGAGTCCCAGAAGCTTGGCCCCTCACTCTGAGTGTAGGGATCTGGAGGTGGGGGAGAAGGTGCCGCCTGCCCTCTCCTCCATGAGGAGCTGCTGTCCAGGCAGGTGCCTCCCGCCCAGTGGGAACCAAGGCTGGGGTGGGAGGGTCTGGCCTGGAGTCATGGGGCTGCAGCAATAGTGTGCCATCTGTGTGTGCTGGCACCGGGTGGCTTATGGGCTTCCTGGAAACCCCAGGCCACACTGGCTACACACAAGGAGCTGGCCACCACAGGACTTTCACCTGTGTTTGGAAAACTCAGTGTGTTAACTCCCTCGTCTCCTTTTTTCCTTTCCTCAATAAAAATGCAAACCATCACTTCCTGCACCCTAGTCTGAGTTGAAGTCACAATCTGTGGATATAGTTCTGGGTCTCTGGCAAATTCTCCTCCCTGTCCGGCAAGGGTGGCTGAGTGCTAGGGTCTGGGTGTCCAGTCAAACCTGCAGGAACTCGGCATTGGTGACAGAGGCACCCGTGTACGAAATGATACTGGCCAAGACCTAGAGAAGTCAGACATGTGACTAGCCTTTCTCATGAGCCACCTCTTCGCAGTGCGACCAGGTCACCTAAGCAAAGGTCCCACATCCAATGGCCTGCTGGAGTCAGACTCAGAACTTCAGAGGCGCGTGCACGCTACCCTCAACGGCCAGCCCTGCAGTCCTATGTCATTGACGTGACTTCAGAACCTGCCCTTGGGGATGCTGGGACAGCAGCCCTGGGCTGCTACAGCGAGGCCAGAGCTGGAGGATTTGGGGGTGGGAGGGGTGGGCAGTGGGCTGGCATCGAGGCTCAATAGGCTAATCCTCCACCTGTGGCGCCTGCACCCCAGGTTCTAGTCCCGGTCGGGGTGCCAGATTCTGTCCCGGTTGCCCCTCTTCCAGTCCAGCTCTCTGCTGTGGCCTGGGAGTACAGTGGAGGATAGCCCAAGTCGTTGGGCCCTGCACCCACATGGGAGACCAGGAGAAGCACTTGGCTCCTGGCTTCGGATCGGCACGTGCCGGCCGGCCACTGTGGGGTGAACCAACAGAAAAAGAAAAAGGAAGACCTTTTCTCTGTCTCTCGGTCCACTCTGCCTGTCAAAAAAAAAAAAAAAAGTGGGCAGTGACCGAGTGCTGAGCGGCTCACTGCTTCTGTCTTCTCCCTGGCAGCACTTCTCCGAGCCCTATGAGTCACCTGATACCACGGAGCAGGGGCAGCCTGGTGACCAGCGTCTGGCTGAGGCAGTGGCAGAGAGCCGCGGGCTGACCTGCAGAAGAGCAAGCCAGGAGGACATGGGCCTGGACGACACGGCCTCCCAGCAAAGCGCTTCGGACGAACAGTAGTGCGCAAGCGTTCGCTTCGGAAAAAACGGACTCCTCCGCGGCTCTCAGCTTCCTACGTCTTCCCTGGGTTCCCCCAGCCAGCTGGCGCTACCACTGCAACCCACGTAGGGCTGATCCTGTGGGAGAGTGGGAGCTGTCTAGAAAACTGAATGACTTTAACTCAGGTTCTTGAAAAAACCTCATATGATGGAGGGAAAAAAGACACCACGCCTCCTCCCCCAAGAGCTCCATGCCCTGGGCAGCGCGAGGCAGGCAGCACCGCCGACTCCCCAGACTGGCGTTTCAAACAAAAGCCACTGAGTATCTTCAAACAACTAAAGTTAAGTAGAGCCTGTAACTAACTCCTTCGTGCCCTGGTGAAAATAAGACAACTGCATGTTAAATAATCAGCATTTTACACATTAACTGTTAGCACGAGGAAGAAACAGAAAGCAACATGTAAGAAAGACACCATCAGCTGGTCAAATGCATTAAGGTTAACATCTAGGTGTCAGGAAAACCTCATCTGTTTGTAACATTTACGCAGTTGTTCCATGTAAAATAGTGGCAGCTTCACTACCCGAACCGTGACAATGCATGCAGTCCTGTCTAAGGTATTCTAGAGGAACAGCCAGGCTACGTGACGATGTGAGTGGCCAGCGAGTCCAGTCGGCGCGTGGAGCATCGCGGAGCCACCTGGCGTTCCTCCACGCAGTTCCGCGAGCTGCACGGAACATCCGCTCGTCTTCCAAGCTGAGCAACCTCCACGGATCACAGCACACTTGCACACACCTTTGTTTTTGGAATTAAAATGTTTACAGTTATTGCTGTGTCTGGCGTTTGTTTTGCTGAAACTTTACTCTAAAAACGGATCCTCTACTGTGAGGACATTTGGGCAAATCCTGAGATGGCTTTTTTCCCCTGGCTTGCCTCCCGTTGGAGGGGGCAGAAACCTGGATTCTTGCTGACACGAGGGAAGCAGAAACACAGTCCATGAAGGGTATCACCACGGACTCACTGACCTGCTGAACCATCCTTTTAGGAAAGATAATAGAGATACTCAATTTGGAAATAGCCTTCACATTTCTCTAAAGCATGTAGGGGTTTCAAAACTGGGAGAAAGATGATGGGGAGGGGAGGGTGTTGTAGGGAATCCCATACTCCTTGCAAGAAGATGGTAATACCTTTTTTTTCCTGGTAAACTAAGAATTAGCAATGAGTAACAGTAGGTGAGCCCTATAAATGAGAGTCAACGCCCCCTTATTCTTGGGTCAGCAGTCTCTGGAGATGCAAACTTTAGTCCTGATTTCCATACCGGTGTCTAACAGGAAGCTGATAGTCTTGCTGCTCCTCTCTGAGACAGGCCACACTCAGCTGGCGGCTCCTGCAGTCCTCAAGCCACAAGAACTGACCTTCCAGCCCTGAGCTGTGGTCAGGTCACCCCTGAGTGCCTAGAAGAAAACACAGACAAGGTAATCTCCCCAAAGTGGGAAACCCAAATTGTAGAGAAATGGTGTGGATCTGCCTGCTGCATCAGTGCCTGGAGAGCTCCTGCATCTCATTCCAGAGAGGTCTGGGAGTGCTCCTTCAACTGCTGAATCTCTTGTCTAGGAGAGCACAATCACCTTGTGTGTGCCTACTGACAGGTGTATCGGTGCACACTCACATGCACGGGTTCACACAACAGAGAAGGAAAGATGGTTGACCTGGGAGTGCCTCCAGGACCCTTTGTGGCTGTTAGGCCAGCATCAACCATGCAGCCCCACTTTGCCATACACAACTTTCATATTTACGGCTCAGGAGCCTGTTAATCTGGCTCTTCAGGCGGTCAGTTGCTTCTCAGAATATTCCCTGCAAATTGAATTATAAGCCCCCCCCCCCCTTTAAAGGAGAGGTTCCAGAGTTGACATCTCTTGCCTGGGTTGTTCAAATGTTCATGCCAAAATGCAGACAAGAAGTGACTTTCTGCATCTGGACACTGAGCACAATGGCTTCTCCTTTAAAGATACTGTAAAAGTTATAGCATTTGGTTTCATATAAATCATGTGGCTAATATGGCATTATTTGTTCCAAATTCTTCACTGTGCCTTGAAATCATCTGTGTCTAGCAAGCAGTTTTCTATAATCACTGGATGTTCCAATTACTCTTTGCCCATAAAATGTGCAATGCAACATGTGTTTACTAGGCTCCTCCACCTCTCTACTGTTCTGTCCCAAAGCCTCGTGCTACACAAGCCTCTGCTCTCAGCACACTCACAGGGGGTGAGCCTTCCAGACAAAACCTTCTATGAACTCCAAGCTAGAGGGGAAGAGAAGGGGACTCAGGCCAGGCTGCATTCTCTGGACTCAATGTTCTTAGTGCTGGGAGCAGAATGAGTGACTGAACTTGCAACTTTGCTGGGAACTTCTTTCTGTCAGCCCTGATAGAGAGATGATGTTTTATCAGTTTAAAGACTTAACTATCTCCCTGCTTCCTCTTGTTTGGAGGCAAAAGCAGACAGATGGGTAAACCATTTTGTGTGAAGTGCTTGCTAGGATGGGGAAGAGGGAAGAATTATTTAGTGAAGCATTCTCTATACTGGTTCTGCTAAGTCCATTCAACCTGGTCATTCCAGCTGAAGGTCATCATACAAGCAATACATGTCAATTTTGTGCTTTTTTTAAGTCAGGACTCATATCTAACTTAGATATCCTGGTTTGACTAGTAGGCATTTTGAGATCAAGTATAAAAGAGAATCTTTGACCTCCCCTGTCCCCTGCCCCTTGTACTCCCTGCACAGAGCTCCTCAGTGCAGGACACCAATGAAGAGGCAGCAGTGCAGCCTCCTCTGCTCCTGGCTTGTGCTCAGCAAGTGGATGAACCACACATGGTCTCCTGACCCTGTTTTTCTGTAAACCTCAGCAGGATGTAGTTTTCAGAGGCTGTTCTGTGTTTGGTCCCAAGTTGTTAGGAGTGAATCCATCTTACCGTGCATTATGGATACTTTCAAGTAGGCTGTGACTCTCCCATCCTCCCATAAGCACAAATGACTTCAGTGATACACCCCTCAAACTAGCTAGTTTACCTTCATGAAATTTAAGACAAAATCAAAGTCTACCACACAGTCACAGCTGAAACACTAAGCTCAAAAGAACAAGCAATAGAGGAAACAAGTCCCTCCGTATTTCAGATGCCCTGAGGACCCCCAAGAGGGCCCAGGAAAGCTCCATCTTGCTGCCTGTATAGAATGCCTGGGTGTGAGTCCCAGCTTTGCTTCCGATTCCAGCTTCCTGCTAATGTGCACCCTAGGAGGCAGCAGGTGATGTACCAGGTACTTAGGTACTTGCCACCCACACAGGAAACCTGGACTGAGTTCCCAGGAGCCAGGCCTTTGGGGAGTGAATCAGTAGATGGAAAGTCTCTCAAAGGTTCCTGTCTCTCAAATAAAATAAACTTAAAAAGAAAAAAAAAACTTAGAAATTCGTAGTATTTCACAAAAAATGATGTAACAACACTGAGATATTTATCACTGCATTGTGAACCACCTGGAGGGCAATTTTTATCCCACATACATTCTAGAGCTTCGATAGTCTTTTTTACTTTCCTGCTTTCTCTTTTTTGTTTTCCTCCCCCTCCCCCTTTTTGAAAAATGATTTTCTTATTTATTTGAAAGGCAGAGTGACAGAGAGCAAGAGAGACAAAGGGAGAGACAGAGGTCTTCCATCTGCTGGTTCACTAGGCAAATGGCCTCAACAGCCAGGCAGAGCTGGGCCAGGCTGAAGTCAGGAGCCTGAACTCCATCCAGGTTTCCAATGTAGGTAGAGAGACTCAGTACTTGGCCCATCCTCTGCTGCCTCCCCAGGAGCATTAGCAGGGAGCTGATCAGAAGTAGAGCAGCTGGGACATGAACCAGTGCTCAGGTATGGGATGCTAGCATTGAAAGCAGCAGCTTAACCTGCCACACCACAATGCCTGTCCCACTTTCCTACTTTTTCTGCAGTCCCCTTGCTATGGGCTAAACTCTACCTTGCTAGCTCATTACTCTTGATAAATCCAACTGGGGAGCAGTTGATTTCCTTCCATGATGTAGCATCAGTCTCCTCCCTTCTTCCCCTTTGGGAGGGAAACTAGGCACAAAAAGGTTCAAAAGAGCCCAGGAGAACTCAGCCAAAGCAGGGTTCTGATGTGAACCCCCAGGCCCACGCTGCCATTCTGCCCACTGAGACCCAGGTCGAATCAACGTCCTGAAGACAGAGTCCCTCCCACACAAGGACCCATGTCTATAAACACCAGATTTATTTTTATATTAAACAACAAGCAAACATGAAATATGGGGGAAGATGACCAAAAATTATTTTCTTTTGAAATAATAGTTTTAAAAAGAAAATCAAATAACTACTATTCCTTTAAGTTGTATGAGCTTGAGGCTGCACCTGGAGAGAAACTTAATTTTCATGGCATGCAAAACTGATTAAATGGTGAACTCTTTTGTCCCCCTTTTCCTGAGCACATTTACAAACTTCAATATGGGTGAATTTCATCAAATACTCTGAAAAAATATTTCTGATTTCATAATTTACCCATATCATGCACACAAATGCAATAGGAAATAAACAGAAGGCTTTAAGCATAAATAAGCCAAAATAGATTGTTAAGCTTGTATAGTTAGTCCAGCAGTAGAGCTAATTTGATATTTTAAACAGCTGTCCAGCTTTCTTTGGAAAAGTCCACCAAGTTTCCTAAACCCAAAGGCATAAAACATTGACAAGTCAGGCACCCATCAGGCTGCTCTTGGACCAGGGGACTTCCTCCCGTGTAGAACACAGACTGTCTTCACTTCCTGCTGCTCTGCACACACGTCACGATATCTGGCAGAAGGTGGTTCCTATTTTCCTTGGTGACCTGTGGGAAGAAGAAAGGGAGCAAGTGTCAGAGCTCCTGTCCTTCTCTCCAGTCCAGAGACATCATCTTCCAAAGCTGACAGGCCGGAAGGCTGGGAGCGGAGGAGGTATGTTTTGAGAGCCAGGAGACTTCGAAGCCCAGCTCTTAATGAGCACTGTGAAAAGGACAGGCAATACCATGTCCTGCCACCAGCAGGAGACTTCAGAGACAGCAAGAGAGATCCCCCAAGAGTGCTTGTGTGCCATAGAGCCACAGCTGCACATTTCAGGGAAATGCCTCATCAATGTCACCCTCACAACCATGCGGCATGCGCACCAGGCACACAGGGGAAACAAGACACACGCAATCATCCCCATTTCAGATAAGAGGAAACAGAGTCTCAGGAGCCAGGAGCGTTGGAAAGATGCTGAGCACAGACCCCTCATCTGTCACTCGGGGATCCTGCCCGAGTCCCTGCTCCTGCCCCAGTGAGATGGCCCTGCCAGGAACTGCTGGGGACTACCGGTGCCACAGCAGGGACTGTGCCAGCCACATCCAACAGTTAGAGAGTTCCTTCCAAGTCTTGCTGAGATATAAAAAGAATAGAAATGAAAACTGGAAAAGACACATTTTGAGAACATTTTCTCATGAAAAATTAATGAACAGAATGCAAGTACTACATTATTAATGTATAGATACCCTCCCTTTGATTTCCCTAAGACTATTTGTGCAGTGAGCTGTTTATGTGAAATTGTCTGCAGTGCTCAGTTGTTATGTTCCCTGCGCATAGAGGACAAACTCCGAAACACAAGAACAAGTATGACGTCCTCTGCCAACCTCGGCAGTATATTCCTTTATGTGAAATTCCAGCCTACTTGTTATTCAACCACCAGCATTTCGGCTGCAGAACGCCTCTCCTGGCTTTCTTCCTTCTAGAAACCACGAACCTATTTTCTGTCCATA